CTGTCTCCCTGGTTCACGCCATTCTCCTGCCTCAGACACCCGAGTAGCTGGGACTACAGGTGCCCGCCACCACTCCTGGCTAAGTTTTTGTATTTTTTTAGTAGAGTCGGGGTTTCACTGTGTTAGCCAGGATGGTCTTGATCACCTGACCTCATGATCTGCCCGCCTCGGCCACCCAAAGTGCTGGGATTACAGGCATGAGCCACTGCGCCCTGCCATGTTTTTATTTTTTAGGTAGACGGGATCTTGCTATGTTGCCCAGGCTGGTCTGCATTTCCTGGTCTGAAGCTGTCCTCCCAAAGTTCCTTCCAAAGTTCTAGGATTGCAGGTGTGAACCTCCATGGCAGGTCTGAATTTCAATCCTATTTTTAAGAAAGGCTATTCAAAGTCTCTGTCATCCACAGTATTGTCCTTCCCTGAAAGCATCTCCAATCAGATGCATGGTAAAGATGTTACCAAGTACTCTTAGGACAAGTTTCTGATAACTTTAAGATCAAAGGACTAGGCTGGGCTCGGTGGCTCATGCCTGTAATCCCAACACTTTGGGAGGCCGAGGCGTGTGGATCCCTTGAGGTCAGGAGTTCAAGACCAGCCTGGCCAGTATGGTGAAACCCCGTCTCTACAAAAACAAAACAAAACAAAAAAAGACTTAGCTGGGCATGGTGGCAGGTGCCTGTAATCCCAGCTACTCAGGAGGCTGAGGCAGGAGAATCGCTTGAACCCGGGAGCTGGAGGTTGCAGTGAGCTGAGATCATGCCACTGCACTCCAGCCTGGGCAACTAAGCGAGACTCGGTGTCAAAAAACAAAACAAAACAAACAAACAAACAAAAAGAAACTTGGCTGGGTGCAGTGGCTATTGTCTGTAATCCCATCAATTTGGGAGGCCGAGGCGGGCAGATCATGAGGACCCCAGAAAGCTCAGCCTGAGGGGAAGCCCGTGGGGGTGGTGGGGAGTGGGGCAGGGCAGGCAGCAGGTGCGATCCTGGATTCTGGATTCTGGGGGACAAGCCTGGGGTTTGAGGTAAACAGGCCTGAGTGGAGAAGGGGCTGCTGTGGTTGGGCCAGGGTGGGTGGAGCTGGAGGAGCCTTTTCTTCTTGGACCAGTTTTTGAATTGTGCTACATAACATGGTACATCAGATTTACCTTCTTTATCATTTTCAAGTGTACTGGGCGGCAGTGTTGAATACACGCACAGTATTGTGCAGCTGATCTCCAGAACGTTCTCATCCTGCAACCCTGAAGCTCTGTCCCCACTAAATCCCAACTCTAACCCTAACCCCAACCCTAACCCATTACCCCCTCCCCCAGTCCCAGGTAACCGCCATGCCATTTCTGTCTCTAGGAATTTGACTCCTATAGGGACCTCAGAGAAGTGTGTTCATGTGCATTTGCCCTTTTGTTGTTGTTTTTAAGAATCTTATTTTACAGGAGACAGTATTTGTCCTTTCGTGGCTTTCATATTTCACAGGGTGTAATGTCCTAACCGTTCATCCACGTTGTAACAGAATCTTCTTCAGGGCCTCCTTGCTTTTCAAGGCTGCATGGTATTTCATTGGGTGGATGATCCCATTTGGTTTCTTCTATCTTTTGGGCATATATATATTTGAATGTGTGTGTATATATATATATTTGGGGGGTGTGTGTGTATATATATATATTTGGGGGTGTGTATGTGTGTGTATATATATATTTGAGAGTGTATGTGTGTATATGTATGTATTTGGGGGTGTGTGTGTGTATATATATATTTTTGTGTGTGTGTGTGTGTGTGTGTGTATGTGTATATATATATATATATATATTCATTCCAGGCTGGCCTGGAACTCATGAGCTCAAACAATTCTCTGACCTTGGCCTCCCAAAGGCTGGGATTACAGGTGTGAACCACCACGCCCCGCCGTCCTTTTGGTTATCCTTTTTTTCAAAATTTTTCCAAATTTTATTAAGACTGTGATAACTGGCTGGGAGCAGTGGCTCATGCCTGTAATCCCAGCACTTTGGGAGGCCAAGGCGGGCAGATGCCTTAAGGCCAGGAGTTCAAGACCAGCCTGGCCAACATGATGAAACCCTGTCTCTACTAAATATACAAAAAATTATCCGGGTGTGGTGGCATGCATCTATAGTCCCAGCTACTTGGGAGGCTGAGGCAGGAGAATCACTTGAACCTGGGAGGCAGAGGTTGCAGTGAGCCAAGATCATGCCACTATACTCCAGCCTGGGTGACAGAGTGAAACGCTGAGAAAAAGTTTTTTGAAAATGAAAAAACAAAAACAAAAAAACACTGTAATAAACCCTTGGATTGAAAAAGTTTATAATGATAACTTCTACAATGTAAAAAATTAAAAAGTAAAAAGAGTTTAAAAATAAATAAATAAAATTATCAATGAATCCCAATCAGAATAAATATAAAGTTGAAAACCACACTAAACCAATCACTATATTATTTAGGAAAACATGCATATGTGGTAAAAAACAATCAACAGCAAAGTCAAGATTAACCAAAATACAGGATAGTTGTTACCTCTGGGGAGAAAGGTGGGAGACTCAAAGGCTTTAAATGTCTTAGTAAATCGTTTTCTCAAAAAAGATTTATCCCTAAGAGTAAATAAGGGTTTATTTTTGTTATTCATCTTAAAATGGAACAGATGGAAAATATTTTTTTGCATGACCACAACAAATGGAAAATATATTAACGAAGTTCAGTCATTCTTCTTCTGTTTTACTCATAATAACAGAAGCCAGAAACCTGGGAGTTACCCTTGACCACTCCCTCACCAACCAAGTCCAATTAATTTTCACTTCTAATCACACCTATAATCCCAGCACTTTGAGTGGCCAAGGCAGGCAGATCACTTGAGACTAGGAGTTCGAGACCAGCCTGGCCATGATGGTGAAACCCCATCTCTACTAAAAATACAAAAGTTAACCAGGCGTAGTGGCTCATGCCTGTAATCCCAGCTACTCAGGAGGCTCAGGCAGGAGAATTGCTTGAACCAGGGAAGTGGAGGTTGCTGTGATCCGAGAGCACAACATTGCAGTCCAGCCAGGGTAACAGACCAAGACTCTGTCTCAAAAAAAAAAAAAAAAAGGATTACTTTCTATTCTTCCCTACCCACAGCACCAAATCCTGGCCCCAGCCACTGTGATTCTCACCAAGTACCCAAATCCCTCCCTCTTCCTTAACATCCCCGCTCTAATGCAATCTCCATACAGCAGACAAAGCCAACACTTGAAAACATGATTAACTTTGTCTTCAACTTGAATCTCCCTCACCACCCTCCTTTTCTATCAGAAGCAGCAGAGAGACAAGTACATTGCCCAAGGCCACACAGCAGGACATGGCAGAGACAGGATTCAGAATCTACCAGTCCTGACAGTTCACACGTCTCCTCCACCCACTATCCCACCTTGGGTGATCCCAGAAAAGGGATTGCCCTAACACAGGGTAATCTCGGACAAGAACAGATGATTTCCTGCAATCACCACTTCCCTTCCTTTATCAGCCTAACTCCTAGTTATCCCTAATTCTGAGCTCAAACCACACTTTCTAGGAAAGGCCTTCCTAGGCCCCTTGTCCTGTTCCAGCAACTCCCCACAATTTGACGGCCAGCACTTTGTACATCTCTAAAAACATTCCTCTTCAACTAGATTGTGCCCTCCACAAGGGCAGAGGTCTGTTTTGCCCACGATTGTGGCACATGTCACATACCCTTGAGCACTCTGGTTCCTCTCCAAATCCATTTCTCCCAAATGTGGGCCCAGATTGGTGGCTCAAGTCTGGAACCCTAGCAGTGTTGAAGGATCGCTTGAGCCCAGGAGTTCAAGACCAGCATGGGTAACATAGGGAGATCCTGCCTCTATACATTTTTTTAAAAATTAGCTGCACGTAATAGAAGATAATGGGAGGTTGACGTGGGAGGATTGCTTGAGCCTGGAGGTGTGGTGTGATTGCACCACTGCACCCCAACCTAGGTGACAGAGCCAGGCCCTGTCTCAAAATAATAATAATAATAATAATAAAACAGAAAAAAAAATGACGACAGGATATTTGAACTGGAGAAATACTTTTTAACTCAGCCTGAGGCTATCAAAACATCTGATCCTCATGTGAGAGGCTACAGTTCTGGGCGTGCTCAGGGCCCATGGAAAACAGAGTCGGCCCAGGCACCTTCTACCTGTGCAAGGGAACAGATGTCAAATTCAAGTGCACAAGCTGCTCTGGAAGACCCAGCCCAGGCCTGGCTGGCCGAGGGCACTGGACTTTCCCCATCTGCATCGTCCAAACATTAGTGAAGATGCACCTGCACAAACACATACACAATCACACACAACACGTGAGCAGTGGGCAAGACTGGCCCGGCCCCACTCAGTGTTGTCACCACTGGCCCCATAGCCGCCCACAGCCCTAGAGCTCTGGGCCCGGATTCCTGCCAGCCCCCGCTGTCCAGGCCAAGGCCAGATGATGGAACAAGGGGGTGCCAGGGCAGCAAATCCCCCACGTGCCCCTTTCCCACAGGGCACAGGCTCCTGGAATCAGAAGGCTGAACCTAGTCCCTGGCCCGGGCTGTGTGCTTCCAGCCTCTTCTCCTCTCGACACCAGAACAGAGCCTGGCTCCAGCTCCCAGGAAATACAGAAAAAAAAATGGGTAAATGAACGAGTGACAGGGTGTCTTGTTCCACATAAGACACATGAGCAGGGGGAGGGGGAGGGGCTCCTGGCTGCAGGATGCACCCCACACTGTACCCAAAACCCCACCCTTCCCTGGGGGACACATGGTCCCACCCCGAGCTGCCTTTCTTAGGACCCCAGCCCCAGCTGAGCCCAGCCACACCCTTCCACTCCCTTCAGCCAGTCAAGAGGCTGGGCGGGGTCAAGTTGGCAACAAGGGGAGGGGCCAGGACACAGTTCTCCTTGATTTAAACCCAGGGAGCCTGGAGTGCAGCTCATGCTCCATACCCCAGATTCCCACCTTGCCACTCTCCTGCTGCCCTCCAGACATGCGGGGGCCCTGGGTGCTGCTGCTGCTGTTGGCTCTGAGGCTACAGCTCTCTTTGGGTGTCATCCCAGGTAATGAGGCTCCCCTAGCTGCCCCTACACACAGGGCACCCCCCAGCCCAGGCTGACCTGATCTTTGCTCTCCCCTGGCCAGTTGAGGAGGAGAACCCGGACTTCTGGAACTACCAAGCAGCCGAGGCCCTGGGTGCCGCCAAAAAGCTGCAGACTGCACAGACAGCCGCCAAGAACCTCATCATCTTCCTGGGTGACGGTGAGTGAGCAAGGCCTGTCCAGCCCCGCAGCCCTCACAGCCGCGGTGGCCAGACTATCGGTGGTTCTAGGACAGCCCTGGGGCCCAAGCTTCACACACTTCTGCTCCTTCAGGGATGGGGGTGTCTACGGTGACAGCTGCCAGGATCCTAAAGAGGCAGAAGAAGGGCAAACTGGGGCCTGAGAACCCCCTGGCCATGGACCACTTCCCATATGTGGCTCTGTCCAAGGTAAGGGCTGGGCCACCTTAGAGTCTTCAAGCAGAGAAGGGTATCCTGGCTATGGAGTGTCGTAGGACGGAGGGATCCTAAACAGCTGGGCCTCCAGTAAGGAGCTGGAGGCAGTTGGAATCCCAGAGGACAGAGATCAGGGTCTGTGTGTCTGCCCCAGAGAAGAGCTCAGAGTGTCTCTGTTCCCAGACATACAGTGTAGACAAGCATGTGCCAGACAGTGCAGCCACAGCCACGGCCTACCTGTGCGGGGTCAAGGGCAACTTCCAGACCATTGGCTTGAGTGCAGCTGCCCGCTATAACCAGTGCAACACGACACGCGGCAACGAGGTGGTCTCCGTGATGAATCGGGCCAAGAAAGCAGGTGAGCTGGGGCCCACTGCGGGATCAGGGCCAGGTCACAGACCTCTGTCACCCTTAAGGAAGTCAGTGGGAGTAGTGACCACCACACGGGTGCAGCACGCCTCACCAGCCGTAACCTACGCCCACACGGTGAACCGCAACTGGTACTCGGACACCAATGTGCTTGCCTCGGCCCGCCGGGAGGGCTGCAAGGACATCGCCACACAGCTCATCTCCAACATGGACATTGACGTGCGACCCCAAGGCCAAGGGTTGGGGCTGGGCAGAGAGTAGCAGGGGGCATCAGCTCAGACCCAGGCAACCAACAGCCTGATCTGGGTCAGCAGGGTCTGGAGGTGGGGTTGGGGGCATAGAAGGTGCAGCCCAGGCCGGGCCACTCCCACAGCCTTGGGGAAGGGAGCCAGGGGCTGTGCAGGAGGAAGTGGCACAGGGCCAGCCAGGCCCCAAACCCACGTGCCCGATCCTCTGTTCCCAGGTGATCCTGGGTGGAGGCCAAAAGTACATGTTTCCCATGGGGACCCCAGACCCTGAGTACCCTCATGACTACAGCCAGGATGGGACCAGGATGGATGGGAAGAACCTGGTGCAGGAATGGCTGGCGAAGCAGCAGGTGATGGGGGCTGGCGGGTGCAGGAGGCACAGCAGGGGGAGGGCAGAGGTGTGGGGCTCAGGGCTGTGGGCTGAGGCCTGGCTCTCTCCCTCCCTGCAGGGTGCCCGGTAAGTGTGGAACCGCACTGAGCTCATGCAGGCTTCCCTGGACCCATCCGTGACCCACCTCATGGGTAATGACCCCCTTCCTGCCCTGGCATCCCTCAGACAGCCTCAGATGGCACCTTCTGAACCTGTGTACACGTCTGCCAGCACCCTTCCACCCCCAGCCTGCCAGTCACCATGGGACCCCTTGTCCCACAGGTCTCTTTGAGCCTGGAGACATGAAATACGAGATCCACCGAGACCCCACACTGGACCCCTCCCTGATGGAGATGACAGAGGCTGCCCTGCGCCTGCTAAGCAGGAACCCCCGCGGCTTCTTCCTCTTTGTGGAGGGTGCGTGGTGGCCCCTGGGGAGTGGGGGTTGGGGTTTGGAGCAGGGCAGGTTCAGCACCACCCTCTCTGGCCTTCCTGCAGGGGGTCGCATCGACCATGGTCATCACGAAAGCAGGGCCTACCGGGCACTGACTGAGGCGGTCATGTTCGACGACGCCATTGAGAGGGCGGGCCAGCTCACCAGCGAGGAGGACACGCTGACCCTCGTCACCGCTGACCACTCCCAGGTCTTCTCCTTTGGTGCCTACCCCCTGCGAGGGAGCTCTATCTTCGGTAGGCCCGGGGAGAGTGGCAGGTGCTGCTGCATCAATTACGTGGGTGAAATCTGAGCCTCAGTCTCCCCCTCTGTCAAATGGGAGTAATGCTGGCACCAGCCCTGTAGGGTCTCCTGAGGACTAAGCCCCTGACCAGGCAAAAAGTGGCGGTTCCTAGCACGTGGGAGGCACTCCACAGCTGTGTTCAGCTCAACTACAGGGACCCCTCTCTCTGCAGGGCTGGCACCCGGCAAGGCCCAGGACAGGAAGGCCTACACGGCCCTCCTATATGGCAACGGTCCGGGCTATGTGCTCAAGGACGGCGCCCGGCCAGATGTTACCGAGAGCGAGAGCGGTGAGTGCCGCGGGGTCGCCCCCTGAGGGGGACCAGGGTGCCAAGGATGGGGGACTGGCGGGAAGGGGTCACCTTCTGTCTGCCTGGAACTGAACCTTCCTACCGGAACTGAACCCTCCTACCAGGGAGCCCCGAGTACCGGCAGCAGGCAGCGGTGCCCCTGGACGAAGAGACACACGCAGGCGAGGACGTGGCGGTGTTCGCGCGCGGCCCGCAGGCGCACCTGGTTCATGGCGTGCAGGAGCAGAGCTTCGTAGCGCACGTCATGGCCTTTGCCGCCTGCCTGGAGCCCTACACGGCGTGAGACCTGGCGCCCCCCGCCGGCACCACCGACACCGCACACCCGGAGCGGTCCGTGGTCCCCGCGTTGCTTCCTCTGCTGGCCGGGACCTTGCTGCTGGGGACGGCCACTGCTCCCTGAGTGCTCTGTCCCTAGGGCTCCTACTTCCCCATCCTGGTGTTCTCCTGCTCCTCACCTCCAGTCGTCCTGCCCAGCCTCCACCTGGAGCTGTCACCCCCGGAGTCACCACACAGATGTCCTGCCATGGAACCTTCCCCTCCCAGTGCACCCTGGGGACTGAGCCGTTGACACCATGCCCTTTGCTGTATCTTGCTCTTCAAATTTTGGCCCCAACTCCAGGGACTGGGGATTTGTGCCTGGCAGCTGCCTGCATTTCAGGAAAAGAGAAGGCTTAGACCACCCAGCCCCAGCCCATATCCTGAGGTGGATCAGGCAGGCTCTCTCCCTGGGACATGAGGCACCCAGACCTAGGGCCCCCTGCGCCTTTCTTAGCTTCTGTCATGGCAGCACCTGAGGGACACAAGGATTGGGTGCATCAGGATGCCTGGAGAAGCGTGGCTTCCTGCCACCCTGCAACCCACCCTGCAGGCCAAGGAGGCTGCTGTGGTGGGGATCCCCAGGGGGGCTTTGACACAGTCCTCTGCTGTCCCTCCACTGGGCTAATGCTACACCCCTGCACCCCTCCTAGGGTGCAGAGAGGCTTGCCCCAAGTCACAGCCACTCAGATGCTCGAAGCCCTCCAAGGTCCATTCCAGCACCCAACTGAGTTCCCAGGAGCACCTGGGTGCAGGATAGCAGCCCAGAGTCCATGGCCCCTCCCAGGCCATCTGGGCACTGGGCATGGATTTCTCAACAAGGAAGACTATTACCTCCCTTCCCCAGGCCTCCATTCTTCTAGGAAACACAAAGCAATAATATAAGGAAGTGTTAGACAGTGTAATGCCAGTACTGCTTCCTAGGAGAAAAATCGTGAGTGCCTGTGGGCACAGTGGCTGGAGGGGTGGATAATGCAGGCCGGGAGGGGCTGCTGAGGAGCAGACGATTGAGCAGGAGACCTGAACAGAGAGGGGCTTGAGCAAGGCGGCACAGCAGTGCAAAGGCCCTGGGGCAGCGCCAGCAGGCTGTCTGGGAGGCCAGGGGCTGGATCAGAGGATGGGTAGATGGGGGAAAGCCTGAGGGGTCAGGAGGGTGGGGGACATGGGGGACTGTGAAGTCTTGGTAGAGGGGTGTGGTTGGAGGTCTTTGAGGAGGGCTGTGACCTGCCCTGGCTGGGAAATGAGCATTCTGGCTGCTGCTAGGAGGAGGGTCTGGTCTTTTGGGTAGAGGGTGGGGGTGGTAGAGGGTAGAAGGTAGAGTTGAGAGCTGGGGAAGGAGCTGACTCCAGGTGTTTCTGACCTCCCTCCGAAAGCATTCTGCAGCACCCATCCCAATATAGCCATACTTAGTGAGTATCACACTTGCCCCAAGAGAACATTGAAAAGAATTAAATAAAGGTGAAATCAACCACATTTTCCAGCGAACTTTACACTATTACAAATTTATTTGTACATTTACAATGGTACAAGAAGCACTTTGTCAACATGGTGAAATTCTGTCTTTACAAAAAGTACAAAAATTAGCCAAACTTGTTGCCCGTGTCTGTGGTCCCAGCTACTCAGGAGGCTGAGGTGGGAGGACTGTTGGGCCCTGGGAGAGTGGAGGCTGCAGTGAGGTGTGATCATGTCACTACACTCCAGCCTGGGTGACAGAGCAAGACCCAGTCTCAAGGAAAAAAAAAAAAAAAAAAGGACTTTGTGCTCACTAGAAATACTAGAATGATTGAATACTTCGTTTATGAAAATTGAATTAACATTGTAAGACATCTATTTGCCAGGCGTGGTGGTTCAATGCCTGCAATCCCAGCACTTTGGGAGGAAAAGAGGTTAGGATTGCTTGAGTTCAGGAGTCCCAGACCATCCTGGGCAAAATGGTGAGACCTCACCTCTACACATTTTTGTTTAGTTTTGAGGCAGAGTCTCCCTCTGTCTCCCAGGCTGAAGTGCAGTGGCAGGATGTAGGCTTAGTGCAAACTCCACCTCTTGGATTCAAGTGAATCTCCTGCCCCAGCCTCCAATGTAGCTGGGATTACAGGCGACTGCCACCAAGACAGACTAATTTTTGAATTTTTAGTAGAGATGGGGTTTCACCATGGTGGCCAGGCTGGTCTGGAACTCCTGACTTTACGTGATCCACCTACCTTGGCCTCAGAAAGTGCTGGGATTACAGGCATGACCACCATGCCCAGCCCCAAATTTTTTAAAAAATTAGCCAGGCCAGGTGGTACGTGCCTGTCGTCCTGGCTACTTGGGAGGCTGAGGTGGGAGGTCACCTGAGCCCAGGGTAGTCGAGGCTGCAATGAGCTGAGATTTCGCCACTGCACTCCAGCCTGGGCGACAGACCAACACCCTGTCTCAAAACAAAACATGTATTTGAGAACCTGGGTTTCAGGACAGTTTTTTCAATTCTGGGTTTCAGTGGCTGTCACAAAAATATGGGAAGTGAACAGAAGATGGACTCCATTAGCTGGCCTTACTAAATTATCATACTCCTTGTTAAATTCCATCCATCAAATATGCAAAGGTTTCTGGTAAAATCCAGCTAGTATATTTCTGTCTTCCCAGTTGTCAGTTAGTTCCTCTTTCTAACCAATGCGGAGGTGCTGCATGATTATATTTTACATGAGTGCTCACACCCAAGGACTTCTATTATTTAAAACTAGACAAGTTTAAAAATAGATTGTTCTGGAATTAGATTATTCTGTTCTCTAGGTTTTTGTTTTTTGTTTTTGTTTTTCATGTGTAGGTATAAGGGCTTATCAGTCAGCTACATTATTGACCACAAAATCAAGTGTCATGAAAATATTTTCAAACTTCTATTCAAAAATATGCCCTTTCCTTAGCATGAGTTTTCACGGAAAGATAATTACCTTCTCTTTTTGTCATTGAAATGACATCTTTACCTGAAGGACACACAGGAAGTATATTTATATTTTCCATCTTTTCACGGTACGCCTAAAATGGAGAGCTTTTCAGTTCAAAGTCAGCAAACTGGATTGTAAGAAGGAGGGAGGGAGAGTTAGGAAGAGAGGGAGAACTCAGGACAAGTGGGTTCGGTACTTTGTCATTTTGCAACTCATTCTATGTGGCCAGAAAGTTTCCATGGTTGCACCCACTCCCCTTACCAAGTATCTTAAAGTTTTTACTTATGTTTAAGTTTAAGTTTCTATTATGCGGCAATCTAAGCTTTACAAAATTAACCACCTTCTGCAACATCCCATGTAGGCTCCAGGCTTCTTCTTTCCTGTGCTGATTAGACTGGGTGTGAGCCAATGAGTGAGGGGTAAGGGTGAACCTACCTCTGCATGCTGATTCGTATCCAGAATGCTTTTTCTGAAAAAACGCTTTCTGAGTAGCTGTTCCATCTGTGGTTGCATTTCCACCATTTCCTCATAATGTTGTTTTTATTTTATTTTTTAATTTTATTTTATTTATTATTTATTTATTTTGAGACGGAGTCTCGCTCTGTCGCCCAGGCTGGAGTGCAGTGGCCGGATCTCAGCTCACTGCAAGCTCTGCCTCCCGGGTTTACGCCATTCTCCTGCCTCAGCCTCCTGAGTAGCTGGGACTACAGATGCCCGCAACCTCGCCCAGCTAGGTTTTTTTTTTTTTTTTTTTTGGTATCTTTTTGTAGAGATGGGGTTTCACCGTGTTAGCCAGGATGGTCTCGATCTCCTGACCTCGTGATCCGCCCGTCTCGGCCTCCCAAAGTGCTGTGATTACAGGCTTGAGCCACCGCACCCAGCCAACACTGTTTTTATTTAAAAAGGCATTTACTGTTGGCAATACATCTTGTCTGCTATATCTTCTCTTTAGTGGCTCACACACACCGAAAGAAAAAGCGGTTTGTTTATTTCCTTATTGGAACAACACCTGGCAAATACCTTCAGCTGAGCCATGTTGGGAACATCTGTGCCTTCAGTCCACTGCAAAGCAAACCGCCCACACTGGGTACTTGGCTCTAACGCGAGTTTCTTCCAATCTTCGGCAGTGTTTTCTCTATATCTTCCGACGGTGTTTGCTGACAAAGAAATGCCTTTCGGTTTGTCAACAGATCATTTACTGCTCATTGTTTCTGCCATTTTTCCTGCAACAGAAAGAATTAAGTTTCTCCCTGGTGGTAGGTGTTTCTCACACTATCATGCAAGAAACTTTAAAAGAGCTTTCCAAATATTAGTCATTGCGTATGGAAATATCAAGAAGTACTGGATTGAACTGCACTTAAATTTAAACATTGATGGGAAAAAATTACACTCTTTCTTCGGTTCTGAAAGCTTCGTTTGGCCGGGCACAGTGGCTCACGCCTGTAATCCCAGCACTTTGGGAGGCAGAGGTGGGCGGATCACCTGAGGTCAGGAGTTCAAGACCAGCCTGGCCAACATGGTAAAACCTTGTCTCTACTAAAAAATACAAAAGTTAGCCGGGCACGGTTGTGCATGCCTGTAGTCCCAGCTACTTGGGAGGCTGAGGAGGGAGAATCACTTGAACCCAGGAGGCGGAGGTTGCAGTGAGCTAAGATCTTACCACTGCACTCAAGCCTGGGCGACAGAGCGACACTCCATCTCAAAAAAAAAAAAAAAAAGCTTAGTTTTAGACACCTTGCCAACCATGAGGATTTCACACTGCTCACAAGTAATTAGTAATACCTCCAGGAACAAAGGCCCAGGGCAAACTTCAGCAGTAATCACAGAGTGCAGGAAATTCAGAGTTTTGTTTGCTGATTTTTTCTTAATACTTTATGTTTGCTGATATTTTATTATTAGGAGCTAACGTCTGGTCAGGTCTGTACCCCTGGTGACATGCGCTCTGCCAGGAGTAATAAGGAATTCTCAGCTCTCCCTTCGGCTGTGGTTCATCTGCTCTGGATTTCTGGTGTTAGTTGCAGATTCTTTATAGGAATCTTGTGTGAGCCTCTTGGCCCTTTTGGAGGATGAGGTCGGTTAAAACTAGATCATATAATCCGTCAGTCCACTTAAGCAGACACACTAAACTCTAATATTCAAAAACTCTAAAACTCTAATACTCTAATACTCCGCAATTTGCTGAAAGCTTGCCATCTGGAGGGCGTACTGTGTCAACCCCTGGCCTGAGGGCCTGAGTCCCTTACTCCGGGACACCCAGGAACCACACGGGGTGGGTGCCTGCATGAACGGTGAAGGCACCAGCATGCAGCTCGATATGAAACATGAGCTCTTGGGGCGCTCACTGCCCAGGGCTGTGCTGAGGCATGTGGTGAGCCCAGCAAACAGTAAGCACTCAGGACGGCCTGATGTCCCTTTAACCAAACCCCAAGGTCCAGGTTAGTCTTGAGGTGCTTGCAGCCTAGGCAGGCCTGAGCAACTCCTTGTGAGCAGGGACGTCTCACTCCCTGCAAGATTCAGACCCCAGATGGCACCACAAGTTCAGTCTCCACCAGATCCGAGGCCGCCTGCCCGTTGAGTGCCTGTGAGCCCCTGCACAGTTCCAATGATGGGCACAGGAAGCCTCATGATCGGGGAAGAGGAGGATGCTCCCTGCAGCCTCTCGGGAGGACTCAAGGGGGATCCCAGCTGTGCCCTTCTGGCCTGGGTGCTGACATTGCATCTGATGATACCCTGGTCCCACTGGTTCTAGGAATAGGCCTCCCCACTGGGTTAGCATCTGTGTAACTGGCCTTTGCCCTCCTCCCAAGGGGTCCCCAGATGTCTACAGTGTGTGGGATTTACTATGTGGGACTTGCAATTGTACCCTCTGAACTAAGGGGGCCCCAGGGCCTACTGACTCCATCCGACCAGAGCTTCCTCCTTTGCTACCAGGGCATACACTGGACCCCAACACCAAGAAGCAGCTGAAGTTCCTCTTTATAGAAGCTTGCCACCCGGGATGCCACCAGGCATGCGGGTATGTTATGTCTTGGTCACTGAAGTCAGGTCATAGAGCCTGGACTGCAGGACATTCTGTGGTTACACTACAGGGAGGGTGTAGTCAGTGGGAGACCTGCCCACATTTGGACACAATAGGTGTAGAGACACACCCTGTACCCATCTGGTTCTTGTTGGGTAGATAGAAGGCAATGAGCACTGTGGGGGGAACAGCCACCTCTGTAGGAAGGTCACAGAGCCTGGACTGCAGGACATTCTTGGCAGCCCAGCCACACCCATCTCCTGACAATATACTTTCTGTGCCACCTCTGAGCTAGGCCACCACCCTCCCGGCTACTACCTCATGACCCTCCTCTGACCCCCCAGCTCTGGGCCAGGCACCCATGTGGACTTGTCCACCTCCTGCCCAATCTTCTTGACTGAAAGCTGGATGTTGAAGCGGATGCTATTCAAGATGTTCTTGTAGTAGGTCTTCTCGTGGACCTTAAACTATGCAGGGCACGGGCAGCACTCAGCCACAGACCAGGGCAAGGCTGCAGACAGCGCCACAACCTGGCCATGCAGGCCCTCCCAGGTGCCATTAGCAGAGGGGCTGTGGTCAGGCTGGGCAGGCAGGGACACAGTCCCATCTCATACTCCTTGTCCACAGACCCAGTTTGAGCAGGAAGTCTGAGTAGCCGACCATCGCCACCATGTACTGAAGCTGCAGGCCAGAGGGCAGGTGAAGGTGGCATGGGGCCTCAGGACACAGCGTCCCTGCCCACCCCCGCCCACCAAGGAAAGGAGTACTAGGCCAGCCTGGGAGTGGGCTTCATGGTGGGGGAGGCAGGCCTGGTCAACTCCACGAAGGCCTCTTTGTCCCTTTTATTCTCTTTCACTGGCACACAGGAGGTGCTCAGTCAATGTTCATGGGACCAACCGGTGGCACTGGGGGCCCCTCGCCACGGCCCCAGCAGCTGTTCTGGTCTCCATGCAGTCCAGCTCCTCCAGGCACTGGCCCTGGAGGTACTTGATGTCTTCCACCAGCTGCCACACCTGCAGGGTCAGGGGTCAGGGAACAAGGGTCAACCCAGCAGCCTTTCACTCTGGTCCATCATTCCTGGCACGAAGGAGTCTTTAAGCACCACTTGCTAAGCCCAGAGCTCGGTGCTAGGTGCCAAGAGGACACGTTGGAGGTGGGAGTCTAGACCCTTCCCCTCCAACAATAAGCTCACAGGCTAGAAGAGGCAACAGCTGCAGCAACCACCATGGGCATCCCTAAGGAGATGCCTCCTGAGCACGGCTGAGAAGGTGGGCAGGGGCCTGGCGGGGAAGGCCACCTGCTACTGACAGACCAGGAGGAGGAGTCCTGCGGAGGAGCATCCTGGAGCCTCAGAATGGGCTGAGGCCTAAGCAGGGCCTGGTACCCCTGCTTGCAGTGGGATGTGTGGGGCTCCCCACGCTAGGACCATGGCCTCGGGAGGGCTCCACCCTCAGTTCAGCACCAGCCTCCCCACCCTAAACCAGAGCAGCCCACCTTGGCTGAGGCGGGCTGAGAAGTGTTCATGTACAAAGAGGGCATGAAGCGCCATGCCAAAGTGGTGGTTGGCCTGGCTCAGGCTGACCCGGGCCAGTTCCTGTGGCTTGTTACTGCCCTCTATCTCCCGTGCCAGCTTGTGCAATGCCTCATGGAATGACACGAACAGGTGCTCACTCAGGACCACCACCACGCCCCACACAAGGTAGTTGTGCAGGATGCTGGGGGCCAGATGAAGCCAGTGGGGTGTCCAGAAAGACATTCATATGGGCCACCAAGGGCACCACCCCGACCTGTACTCCCCAGCCCGCGACTGGACCCAGCACCCAGATAGTCCCTCAAAGAAGGGGCAGGAGGTCATCCCAAGTATGTGGAGGCTGGAATTGGAGTGTGCTGAGCTCAATGACACAGCAAGACACTCTTGCTACTGATGCCAGCCCCTGATGTGATGGGTCAGGGCTTGAATCATTTCCTGACTTGCCATGGGGAGACAGCATCTGACCTTGAGGGTGACTGTCTGACTCAGAACTGGCCTGCAAAGTCCTCTGTTCCTCCCCATGGTGGATAGACACCACGAGGCTCTCCCAAGGGTGGTGCAGGAACAGCAGAGCTGTAGCCACACTTTCTCTTTCCAACCATCCCTAGGTGAGGAAACTGCAGCTCAGGAAGCTCCCAGCCCTGCCCAGGGGCTTGGAAAGCAGAGGGGAGAGCTAGGATCGGATCTTCGGGCTCTGGGTCCTTTTTGAGTGCTGCCTCCTTTAATGTGACTACTGGACAGAAGAGGAGGCGGAAATTCATGGCACACCCAGCAGGCAAGTCCAGGGGGCAGGGGAGGGGCCTGGGCCATATGGGGAGGTGATATTCTGCAGCTGCCCCAGTGTCACCTTTTTGTACATGGAGCTGATATCTGGCTGGAAATGATCATACTCTGACACAGTGATCTGGGTGGGGGTAGAGATCAGGGCTGAGCCAGTCTTGTCTCATGGTCCCCTGTCATCAGCTGTCCCCACTACAGCCACAGGGTCTCCTTGGCCTTCTGCTCTACAGCATCAGCACCCAGGAGGCTGAGCACTCGCTCTATGAACACACTGTATGCTGCCAGTATCTGCACCATGGGAAGGGGCTCCTCCAGGGACACGGACAGGCCTAGTCTGGGCCCACCCCTCCTGGGGCCCCAGGCCTTCCATGCCTCCCCATCCCATGTCCCAGCACCTTTTCACTCGCCTTATCCTGAGCGAGGTACAGGGTCCTCTCTGGCAGGTTGAGCCCATCCTGGTCAATCTGGGGAGGGAGACAGGGGCCAGAGGTCAGAGGTCCACATGCCAGACTCCCCAAACAGATGGAATTCTCACCCCAATGCCCAGAGAGCGACCAGACATGCATGAGGACAGCTCCAGAAGCACGCAGACCCCAGCCCCTCTTTCCACCAGATGAGATGACCAAAGCCCCATCCCCGACTGTCTCAGCCTACCCCTGAACGCCTGCACTTTCCCTACCTGTCGGGGGCACTTGCTGCAGTGCCGCACTGACAGTTGGGGTTCCTGGCTTTGGCGCCAGCCCCAACCCTCACGGAGATGTCAGCCCAGCCCGCCGGCGCATCCTCCTTCCCCACCCTCACTGCCTTCCAGAGGGCTGGGAAATTGCGGCTCCCACAGCTCCGCTAAACACCTCAGTTAACCCAGAGAAATTACTTGCGCCCTCCTCCCGCGCTCTGCCGCCAAGCGCTCCCCTCCCCTGCTTTCCCTTTCTCTCCTCTCGCGCGCCCTCCTCCCACGCGCAGGGACCCCTGGACAGGGACGCCCCCGGGTCCACGGCCGCTGGAGGGGCGCTCGGGGGGCCTTCTCACGCGGATGATGTAGCGCGAGGAATTCCTGTAACCTAGGCTGACCCAGAGGGAGAAGAGTGCTGCGGCGCTGTACACGCCCTGCCCCTTGTACAGCAGCAGGTTGAGGTCCCAGGGCGTCACGACCCCCGGATGCTCCGCCGCGCCGCCCAGGTCCCAGCCCCCGCAGTCCTCCACGACCTCTAGCATGGGCCGAGGACTCAGTAGCCCGATCTCGCGCATGCCGAGGCACGAACGGAAAAAGGCGCGCACCTTGCGCTGGGCCGCGCCGCCGGGCCCACCCCTGGGCCGTGCCAGCAGGCGCCGCAGGCGCTCCTCTTTCTGCTCGCGGATGGCCGTGATGGTGCCATAGGTGAGCTTTTCGTTGGGAATGGCGCGGGGCCTCAGTCAGCGGCTGCAGGCGAAAGAGTAGAAGTGCTGGCATGGGTCCATACTGGCGTCCAGGTTGGCTGCCAGGAAGCCGGCGGCGCGCGCTAAGGCCTTGCCCTCGGGGCAGCCCTCGGGACAGGCGCCGCCGCCCGCGACGACCGGGTCCAGGTACTTGAGCGCCAGCATAGCCGCCAGTATGGCGCAGAGACCAGCGGCGAACACCAGCCCTGACAGCAGGCTCATCTCGTGCAGGGTTCCAGCGCGGCAGCCCAGACCCGTCCCCGGTGGCGCTGCTCCTCCAGAGAAGCCTGGGGGGCAGAAAGGCCTCTTGCACGATCCCCGCGCCGCAGCAGCTCAGGTACTTGACCTACTGGGACGCGTCTTAGTGCGCAGTCAGCGAATACCGCTCTCCATGGCACCGAGGCCGCCGCGGTGCAGCCCTGGGCCACCTGGGCTATGAGATGCGCACGGTCGCTGGCCTCCTCGTGGGCCTCTGCATGGCCCCAGGGCCAAGGCTGCGGGAAGAGCAGTCAGGCTTAGGAGGCGCAGCAGCCCGACGGGGCTCCCAGGCACAGCGAGGAGAGACGCAGGCCTGGGTGCAGAGGACCCAGCTGCCGGCCTCATTCACTGAGGAAACCAGGAATGAGGAGAGTCTGGCGGGGCCACTACCCCGGCGTGCACAGTGGAGTCTTCTCCCCTGTCCTCCTCCCTGCACACACTTGTTGGACGCTGAATTGGGAGGCCTCTTATGGGAAGAGGGATGCTCCAGGCACGGGGTCTGGCATGTAGTGGGTCTTCATTGAAAGGCCATACCTCTTCCTTTCGCCTTTCTTGTCCACGACCTGGCCTAGCCAAGGTCAAGTGGGGTGGGGGAAAGACCGGAAGCTGAAGTGAGGAGGTGCGGTCAGGGGCACGTCTATGAGGCACTTTCAGCTCTCCGAACTGGACCCAGACAGACGCTCTGCAAAACTGCCAAAGAACCAAACTTTGTTCTTCCTCGCGGAAGTCCGCCGGATCGACCACTTCAACCCTGCTCGCTGGCTCCTTCTGCTCGGTGGCCCGACGGCCCACCCGCCCCTTCCCAAGGGGCACGCGCCAACGCCCCAGGGTCGCGGATGCACAACCCACTCCCAGCACGGCCGTGATGGAAAACCCGAGACCTGTCGGTCGCTATCCCCTTTCCGCTCCACTCCTGGCTTCAACAGGTTCTCCCTAGAATCCACACTTGGGCGAAGTTTCACCCACGTCGGGGCGCGAGCTGTCCGGGCGAGCCGAGTCCTGCAGACGCGGCGCGCAGTCCATGGAGCCGGAGAGCCGAGCCTGGGAGTCGCAGCTACAGCGGCGAGGACGCAGACAAAGCCGGGAAGCTCCGCGCAGCGGCTACGAAGGTGACGGAAGTGGCCGCCACGGTGACCGCGGCTGCAGGGACTCAGGCGCCACTTACCCGGCAGGTGCGCGCCGGAGCCTGGCAGAAGCGGAGCGGGTCGGGCCGGAGCCGCTGCCTGAGCAGGAGCGAAGCGACGCGGGCGGCCGGTGTCTCCTGGAGCCCGCTGCCTTCTTTGCTGCCGCCCCAGCCCGCCGCCCGCCTGCCTGCCGGAGGAAGGGGACGCGCCGGCGGCTCCACCCTCCTCCGCCAGTTCCGCGCTCCCTTCCTTCCTCCTGCGACCCTCGGGCCACCTGGCAGCGCGGCGGCAGCTGGGACCTGGGTCGGGGGCCGCGGAGACAGGCTTTCGAGGGTCGTGCGCGGGCTACGGTGGGGACTCCGGGTCTAGCCGCGTCCCGGGACGAGTGGGAGGAGTCCCCTCCGATCCCGTGTCCCCACTCGGAACCTCCCACCAACCGGCTGGAAAGGAGCTGGAGCTACGCAGCTGGGGGCCGTCATGGCCCAGCCCACAGCCCTGGAGCACCGCCCAGGGAGGACTCCTCCTGAGGATTGAGGGGGCGCTAATAGAGTGCCTGGGCTGCCCGAACAGCGCCTGCGCAGAGCGCACCTTCACCAGGGAGCTTCCTTTACCTCCTGGGAACCCCTGTCCCAGATCAGCACTCCCCGGGGTGTCTGGGCTTCTGGTTGTCTCGCCCCCTTCCCCCAGCCCCTGATCCACGGAGAGCAACGCAGAGCCCTCCCAGAAGCAGGCCGGGGGCTGTGAGTGCGGCCCGCATGGTCCCAATGGGCGGTGGTCCCAGAGCACAGCAATCACTGCCTATAGGAGGTGACTTGGGTTTAGCCTCTGACCACACAGTCCTGGTCACCCTGCACAGACTGCCAATAAAGAGGGGTCCGAGGCCCAGCTCCTTGGCTCCCCTGCAGTTCCCCCAAAAGAGAAGCTGAGGCTGTGGGTGAGTGGGTGATGCCAGTGGTCCACCTCCAGTTCCCTCACTGTAGGGGGCTTCCCCTACCCCTGTGATATGGTTTGGCTCTGTGTTTCCACCCAAATCTCACCTTGAATTGTAATCCCCATGATCCCCACATGTCAAGGGTGAGACCAGGTAGAGGAAATTGAATCATGGGGCTGGTTCCCCACATGCTGTTCTTGTGATAATGAGTGAGTCTCGCGAGATCTGATGGTTTTATAAGCATCTGACATTTCCTCTGCTTGCTCTCATTCTCGCTCCTGCGGCCCTGTGAGAAGGTGCTTTCCACCATGACTGTCAGTTTCCTGAGGCCTCCCCAGCTATGAGGAAATGTGAGTCAATTAAACCTCTTTTCTTTATAATCTACCCAGTCTCAGGTACTTCTTCATAGGAGGGTGAGAACGGACTAATACACCCTGATTGTCCAGGTGACCCCATGACTCATATGCAAGAGCATGACAGACCACAGCAGTGCCCAGTGACACCCAGTGAAGCCCTGAGTGACACAACTGGATACCTGATGTGAGGGTTGGGGGCGGGTGTTGGGAGGGGGTAGAGTAGCCAGAGCTGCCTTGGAGAGAGAAGGCCCGAGGGGATGCCAGGCACAGACCGTGAGGGCTTTAGAATCTGACTCACTGCCTCCTCCCTGACTAAGGACAGATCCCAGTCACCCAGCCTATGAACCTTGTCAGAATCAAAATGGAGTTCCTTTTGTTAAAAACCCTGAGAAGTAAAGCCAGGAACATGAAGGGGATTTATCATGCACAAAACCTGACAACAAGAACTGTCACAGAAGACTGCAAACAACCAGCTTGCATAATGACTTTCACAACCTTTCAACAAAGAATACTTCTGCAAGGACATCTGCCCAGCAATTGCCTGTCCAGCCTCAAACTGGTGCCACTCATATCCTTGATCCTTGTAGCCAAGGATAAATATCTCAAAACAATCCTGTGATCCTCCTCCTTTTTCCTCTAAAAACCTTTATCTTCCTTCACCTCTCTAAATTCACACATAGTTTCCTATGGCCTGCTTATTCCCATTGCAGTACCTATTTCCAAAAAATTTTATTTTATTTTAGAGTCTCCCTGTATCTGTTATGCAATGTCACATAGTGGAGCCAGAAGTGGGACTGAAGTGAACTCTGAAGTGAACTCATCTTGGACGAATCAGAGTTTCCTGAAATCTAATGCAGCGTTGACTGAGCCCTCTGCAGACTGCCTTTCCAGGAGTTGATTTTCTGTTCTGGTGAATCTCCTTGAATACTCAGACTCCCTCCCTTTGGTCAGTTCCTTTTTACTTTATCGTGGATGTAATTTAGTTATAAGGCTTCCTTAAACAAAGGACCTTGCATCCTTCTTGGGAGTATAAAGGTTGGAGTTTTGTTGGGGCATGTGTGTGTGTGTGTGTGTTTGAGACAGTCTTGCTCTGTCACCCAAAAGAGTCCTGCCCTGTTGCTCAGGCTGGAGTGCTTGGCAGGATCACGGCTCACGGAAACCTCCTCCTCCCAGGTTCAAGCGATTCTTGTACCTCAGCCTCCCCAGTAGCTGAGACTACAAGCGCGCACCACAACATCTGGCTAATTTTTGTATTTCTGGTAGAGACTGGATTGCACTATGTTGGCCAGGCTGATCTTGAACTCTTGACCTCAAGTGATCTGCCCACCTCGGCCTCCAAAAGTGGTGGGATTACATGGGTGAGCCACTGTGTCTGGCCAGTTTTGTTTTTTCATTTGCTGCTTTGCTTTTCGCAAGCACTTTCTGGTATAAACAGAAGTGCCCTTCTGGTTTGAGGGCTCTGGTTTCTACAGAATTTATTTTCTGTCTAGACAGCAAGTCTTTTCTGGTGAACTCACTTTTGGTTCTGGATGCCTGGCTGAATATTTTGTTTGATGTGCAGCACCTTGGTTGAAATTTTGTGAGCACTCTGATTTTGGTTTGGTTTCCCACGTCTGTAAATGATGTGGCCTTTTTTTTTTTTTTTTTTTGTGCTTGTGAACATCTTCTAATCATCCGATAGCAAAAATAAACATAAATGGTTTGGCACCATAGGAAACATTTAAAAACAAATAAATAAATAAATGTTGAGTGCAGGCCTGGCACAATGGCTCGCACCTATAATCCCAGCACTTTGGGAGGCCAAGGTGGGAGGATGGCTTGAGCTCAGGAGTTCAAGACCAGCCTGGACAACATTACAAAACTCTGTCTCTACAAAAAATACAAAGATTAGCCAGGCGTGTTGGTCCATGCCTGTAGGCCCAGCTACGAGGGAGGCCGAGGTGGGGGGGATTGCTTGAGCTCAGGAGGCTGAGGCATAAGAATTGCTTGAATCTGGGAGGTAGAGGCCACGTTGAGCTGTGATCGCACCACTGCACTCCAGCCTGGTTGACAGAATGACCCTGTCTCAATAACAACAACAAAACAATTTCAAAAGGTGGGTATGAGATGGCCAGTTAAAAGAAACTAGGGCATCACCACCATTGAAATACTTGTGCAAACTCCAGGATTTATAGGATTTTCTTTGCTTTTGAGATTCATAAGAAAGGGAATGACATTCTCAAACACTAACAGCCAGCTATATGGCTTTTCCTCATGCACATTTTAAAATCAATGGCATGATGGGAATCATTTGAACTCCCCAAGTTTGCTTTTTCCTTATACTGAATTTTAAAACTGCCAACTACAGAGTTAAGTGCTCTCTCTTTTTTCTGCCTACTTGAAATCTGCTGACATTTCTGCTGGTATTAAGATAAACCCACAATATCACTTTCCAGCCAAGATAAAAACCAATAAGGAAGAGGTTTTAAAAGGTTTTCAAATTAATGGCTCTACAAATTACAACAGCTCCATGGCAACCCACAACCTAGACACCTTTTGGAAATGTAAATTTAGGTTTGCCTGTCTAACAGTTGCTTTGGGTGATGGACCAGTCCATGGAAGGGCTGCTATTAGAAAGAACAGAACGAGAGAAATGTTTATAAAAATTAGGCTCTCAGATCAAAGAGGTCAAAATTGTGAACTCAGTGCAATAACAAAAAGGATCTCCGCTCAGAATAAAAATTGCTTTGTCTGCTACACAGGGCCAGAAAAAAGCTGAAAAACCCTCCTAAAATGCTTCCCTACCTGCATGGAGCTGTCAAGCAAATAAGAGTATGTTTTTTCATGTCGTGCGTTGTGTCTCCAATTTGAAATCTGACACAATAGTCCAGAAATTCCTTAAGGCATTCTATTCAGGTTAACTTAGATTAATTAAACTTGTTCAAATTTATAGTGAGCAGGGCATGGTGGAGCATGCCTGTTTTCCCAGCTACTCGGGGCTAAGGCAGGAGGATTACTTGAGCCCAGGAGTTCAAGGACAGTTTGAGCAACATAGCAAGACCCCATCTCTAAAAAAATATGTATATAGGTTGGGTACGGTGTCAAACGTCTTTAGTCCCACCACTTTGGGAGGCTGAGGTGGGTGGATTGCTTGAGCCCAGTAGCTGGAGTTCCAGATAAGCCTAGGCAACATGGCAAAACCCCATCTGTACAAAAAAATACAAAAATTAGCCAGGCATGGTGGCGTGTGCCTGTAGTCCCAGCTACTGGGGAGGCTGAGGCAGAAGAATCACTTTAACTTGCGAAGTAGAAGGTTCCATGGGCTGTGATTGTACCACTGCACTCCAGCCTGGGTGACAGAGTGAGATCCTGTCTCAAAAAAAAAAAATGTACATATATATATACACACACATACACATACACACACACACACCTGTGTAGATACATACATATATAAATACATGTATACATATTACATATACCTACATATATAACATAGTAATGAACCCAAATACCTTTTAGTTCATGTGATTTAACCACATCTTTGATAAATAAGCTTGTTTTAAATTTGTTGATAAAATAAAAATAGAAATATCTTTAGCATTTTCTTTTCTTTTTTCCTTCCTTCCCTCCCTTCCTTCCTCCCTCCTTTCTTTTTTTTTTTTTTTTTTTTTTGAGGCGGAATCTCGCTCTGTCGCCCAGGCTGGAGTGCAGTGGCCGGATCTCAGCTCACTGCAAGCTCCGCCTCCCGGGTTCATGCCATTCTCCTGCCTCAGCCTCCCGAGTAGCTGGGACTACAGGCGTCCGCCACAACGCCCGGCTAGTTTTTTGTATTTTTTAGTAGAGACGGGGTTTCACCGTGTTAGCCAGGATGGTCTCGATCTCCTGACCTCGTGGTCCACCCGTCTCGGCCTCCCAAAGTGCTGGGATTACAGGCTTGAGCCACTGCGCCCGGCTCCCTCCCTCCTTTCCTTCCTTCCTTCCTTTCTTCCTTCCTTCCTTCCTTCCTTCCTTCCTTCCTTCCTTCCTTCCCTCCCTCCCTCCCTCCCTCCCTCTTCCTTCCTTCCTTCTTTTTTTCTCAGAGTCTCTGTCTGTCACCCAGGTGCAATCTCAGCTCGCTGCAACCTCCACCTCCCAGGTTCAAGTGGTTCTCATGCTTCAACCTCCTAAGTAGATGGTACTATATAGGTGCTCATCACCACCCCTGGCTAAT